TCAGTGCCTTGGACAGTTGTCTTCAGTGCTCCTTGTTGGCATCTATGCCAAAGATGGCTTATTTCTGGTAGAGAAGTGTCTTTTTCACATGGCAATTGACAAGCAAGTGAGCTCTGACCAAGAAGTAGTCATCTCCTAATAACGTTATGTTCTCTGCAGAGCTTTCCCATAGCTTGGAACTTCTCCCTTGATGCACATCGCATCTTGGCCACTAGGGTATTACTTTCTAATTGTTTCTTCAGTGTTTTTGATTGTGTGTTAGAGGCGAGAGGGGGTTAGTACATCTGCCAAAATTTCTAACCTGGGTAGAGGGTTTGTGGGGTTCTGACTCAAAGTAAAAATAGTGTTTTTGCCAAGTAGGATAAAGACCAATAAACCAGGAGAAAATGTTTCTTGTACTCCTCAGAGAGGAAGTGGACAAACAATGATACAGCAGACAAAGCATGCACAAAGGATCTTAGGGAAAGGAAATCGAACAGGTCAGGATTTTGATCATATTTTATTTTTAGCAAATCTGTGGAAAGTGCTGAAGAGACCCATTGTGTGTGTTTGTAGGGTGCTCTTGAGGATATGGCTTGGAGGCTGGCGGATGGTGTTATGCAGTGTTCTTTCAGAAGAAACATTACCCTTCCTGGGGTTAAGAACAGATTTGATCTAAACACAAGCTACTACATCTTTCTAGCAGATGGTGCAGCTGACAATGGTACGTATATTGATAAAAACTATCTTTTCAAGTTTGTTCCTTTCTCTTCTTCCCTTTTCCACCTGTTCTGGAGACACTACTATAATTGCTCATTTTTTAAGATACGCACTTGTGGGTAAAGAGTTATCAAAACTCTTTTCCATTTTTGCCTGACAATTTGACTTTGGTTAACCTTCTAGGTTTGTTTCCCTGGAAACTAGATAAAAGTAGTGTCAACTGTGTCATAAAGCAACATGCTTATGATAAAAATGACTTCTGGCTGGCAAACTGCATTTGGACCAGGAAGAACTATAAATACCTAGGAAGAAGGCATATCTTTGGGCTTCCCTAAGTGTTGTGACATTGGCAGATCCCTGGCAGGGATCCTACAAACAGTGACTGTAGGGTTGTTGCAACAGATTTTGGCTTTTGCAGGGTAACCTGTCCACTGTGAATTTCACCTCCTTGAACCTGAGCTTTCTCCAGGGAGCTGGAGGAAGGGAAGAGAGAATAGCTCTTGGACAGCTGAATAAAGTGCTACAGGATCTCCCATTGAAGGAGAATGCCTCTCAGTGCTCTGCAGATGTGCTGTGTCTCCTGTCCCACGTCTTTCTAAGTGAATCTGATGTCAAGTGCAGTCTATGGTAGTTTTATGAGTTTGAGTATTTCCCTTATCCTTAAGAAGACTGCCCTGGTGGATATTGATTGCAACACATTTTTTAAAAACATTTTTTAACCTTTTTTATTTATTTTGAGAGAGACAGAGACAGTGCGAGTGGGGAGGGGCAGAGAGGGAGACAGAGAATCCCAAGGAGGCTCCATGCTGCCAGCACAGAGCCTAATATGTGGCTTGAACTCACGAAACCATGAGATCGTGTCCAGACCCAAAATCAAGAGTCAGATGCTTAACCGACTGAGCCACCTAGGAGCCCTTGTGTTGTAACACATATTAAAAGGGATTATTAGATTTTGTTTAAGGCCTTGGCTAATGATGTTTTGAAGAACTACAAGAAATGCCAAGGTAGTATTTAGTGACTCCTCTCTTGGGAGATAATACTGTGCCCAAACTTTGAGACTGTAACTTCTTTTTAAAACTGTGAGAGGGGCGCCTGGGTGGCTCAGTCGGTTAAGCGTCGGACTTCGGCTCAGGTCATGATCTCGCGGTCCATGAGTTCGAGCCCCGCGTCGGGCTCTGGGCTGACAGCTCAGAGCCTGGAGCCTGTTTCAGATTCTGTGTCTCCCTCTCTCTCTGACCCTCCTCCGTTCATGCTCTGTCTCTCCCTGTCTCAAAAATAAATAAAAACATTAAAAAAAAATTTAAAACTGTGAGAAGCTGGGTGTATAGAATGGGAGGTCAGGGGGTGAGGTAAAGGAAGAGGAAGAGACAAATGTGGTGCAGGTGGAGTTGTGAAAAGCCTTGCATATTCTATTATGTGGTTTAGATTTTATACTCTAGGTAAAGGGGAGACAGTGGTTTTGAAGCAGGATAAAATATCTACTCATGTTACAAGAAAATTTAGGAATATTTGTAGATTTAGTTGTAGGTGATATGTGTAGTTATCTTAGTCAAATCATGTATTCTTATTTGCACCAGCATCAGCAAATATGGCTTGAAAATCATTTCTTGGTTAAGTGATAATGAATAAAAATTACTCAGGGCTTAATGAGTGCCAGTCACTGGATAAGCACTATAGTTAGATTTTTCATTTTTATCTTCATAATATTACATTAGGTATGTAGTATTATTATCTGTTTCATCCCAGAGGAAACTGAGGCTTAGGAGCAGTTAAGTAATTTGCCCAGATGAGTGAATGGTAGAGTTGGAATTTGAACCCAAACTCTTTGACCTCAGAGCCTAACTAGTCAACGCTTTTGAACACGGGAAATACAGGAATTGGATTTTTAATGAGGAAAAGGTCACATATGTGTGTTTTTAAACACATACCACTAAAGCGCAGGTAATTGTCATTATTACAATTGTCACTTACTGTGTGCAGTATACATATCTTGTTTATTTCTCACAGAGGCTCTGTAAATATACATTATATTGACCATTTTAGAAATAAAGAAACTGGAACCTAGAAAGGTTAAGTAACTTCTTCCAAATCTAACAAGTAAGAAATTATTAAGTCAGATATTAAACCCCAGGCTGTTCTGCTTACAGAAGCCATGCCCTTTCCATCATACCAGATTGCTTCCTTTGGTGCCCGGTATGTTACAAATGCTTCATAAATGATTATTGATGCAAATGGATGTCTTAAATTGCTATGGGATTTGACAGTTTGCATTTATACTTTAGAAAATTTTATACTTAAAAGATGTTACACGTATTAAAATAAAAGCAATTTCATTTAAGTGGGTGAATTCTATTATATAACAAATTGTGTGTGTTGGGGGGGGTATATGAGAATGCCAAAAATTTCTTCTTAGGTCAGCACTGTAGAAATTGGAATGTATTTTCTTATAGAAACAATATTTTAAGTGTTAGTCCTTTTTTTAAAAATGTTTTTTTAAACATTTATTTATTATTGAGACACATAGAGAACCAGAAAATGAGCATGGGAGGGACAGAGAGAGGGGGAGACACAGTATCTGAAGCAGGCTCCAGGCTCTGAGCTGTCAGCCCAGAGCCCGATGCGGGGCTCGAACTCACAAGCGGTGAGATCATGACCTGAGCCGAAGTTGGACGCTTAACCAACTGAGCCACCCAGGCTCCCCTTAAGTGATAGTTCTAATATTTCCTCAGAAAAACCTCATTCCTGGATAATGCATGTGCAGAATAGACCATTGTTGTATCTTCCTCTCCTGCTGGTGTTGCTGTGCTGATGTTATGGGGGAGAGCATCTGTATTGTCTTTTGTAGTGTTTCTCAAACAACCTTCTTGAGAAAAGCTTCAGTGTAGCCTCAAACAACCTTCTTCAGAATTGAGTGACTGCTAAAAAATGCAGATTCCTGAACTCCATCTTAGACCCACTGAATCTCTGTTGTTGATGCTTGGAATCTGCATTTTTAAAAAAGTTTATTTTTGGGAGAGACAGAGACAGCACGAGTCGGGGGTACAGAGAGAGGGAGAGAGAGAATGTCAAGCAAGCTCTGTGCTGTTAGTGCAGAGCCCTATGCGGGACTTGAACCCATGGAATGTGACATCATGACCTGAGCTGAAACCAGGAGTTGGAGTTGGAGTCAAATGCTTAACCAACTCAGCCACCCAGGCACCTCATTCTTCTGCATTTTTAACCAGCATCCCAGGTGATTGTTTTGTATACTGTGGTTTGATAACTCATTGCTCTAGGACAAGGTTCTCCCAAATAAGGTGTATATACATTGTAAGGCAGTCCAGGGATCCAAGGAACAACACCAGAACTTTGTATATAGATTGATTTTATGTCCTCTCATCTTAAAAAATTTCTTTTTTAATATATTTTAGTGTACATAATGCATTAAAACAATAGTACACGAATGTGTTTATTAACTCAAATATACATATGTTGGGAGCACAGACTCATTTTTTTTTTTTTAAACTGGTGGAGTGCAAAGCAAAAAAGCAAAACAGAACCTCAAAAAGAAAAAAAAAATCCAAACCTAACATTTCTGCTTTAGGGAATAAACTTTCCAGTACCCTTGTATTAAGGAACAAAGTACAATTGCCACATAAATCATTGTCTCTTCTGTTATCTAGTTATATGTACGTGAACCATTTATAAATTGCAGTCTGCTTAAAAGCAGTGAGACTTTGTGAGGTTGAAACCATTTTTCAAAGCCATCATAAAATCTCGGTAACTCTTATAAATGTAAAATGTACCCAATTTCAGTAAAATCCATTTAAAACCTTTTTCTAATACTGTTTCCTTCCTAGAATGCTGACATTGTCCTATCATGAGATAAGCAGTCATGTGAAATGATAGAACTCACTTGGGTGAATAAGTAATTCACAATTAGGAAATCTACCAATTTAAATAATTAATGAACTGGAGACTCTGTTATCACATGACTGGTTATTTTAACAATTTAGGAATACCACACGTCACATAATACTGTAGAGCCTTGTACTAAACACAAACTCAACTTGCCTTAGAGCAGAAATCCAAGATTATAATAGAGCCGTACAAAGGAACTCCAAAAATTATAATGGACTTCTGCTTTAATGAAGGTTAAATTCTTGCTCAGCCATGGCTGTGAAGTGAATCAGAATTTAAAAATACTTTCTTCCAAATGACTCTCAGGCTATTGGGAATGTGGTCTGGTTTTCATTACTGCCGCTCTGCTAATTCAGTATAATTCCTGATAGTTATTGTCTCTCTCTTCTTGACTCTCTTCTGTAGGTATTCATTACATAAAACTTTTCTTGTTTCCTGCTTTATCTCTGATCTCTGTTATAAACAAGCCATGATATAATAGTATTTGTGAAATGAAATCAGTTGTCCTAACACCATTTTTTGAATAGTTCATTTTATCTTTGCTGCTTCAAAAGCCTCTTTATCATATATCAAACATTTATTAGTAAATCAAACTTTCTAGTTTATTTTTCCACTAATCTATTACTGTACTCGTTGAAATTACTATAGCCTTATAATAGGTTATGAATTTTGATAGAGCATGATTCCCTTCCTGGCTGCCTTTTTCAGGAATTCTTGACTCTTTGTTATCTATCTGTTCTTCCAGATAAACTTTAGAAATGATTGTCAGATTCCATTAAAGATCCTGTTGGGGTTGTGATTGGAATTGCAATGAAATTTTAGATTAACTTGAAGAATAATCGACATCTTTGCAATAGAGAGTCTTTCTATCCAGAAGTATACTGGATATTCTATTGATTGAAATCCTGTGGTGTTCTTCAAGTCTTCATATAGGGTTTATATATACTTTTTGTTACTTTGTTTCTATGAATTTTATAGATTTTAATATGACCTATTGTGAATGGGATTATTTTTCTTACATTTTCTAAATTTGTTGGTATATAGGAAAATTATTTATTTTTGAATGTTTGTCTTGAATGTAGCCATCTAGTTTTCCAGTTGATTATTTTGGATTTTCTAGGTAAACATCATATTTTATGCAAATTATGAGGTTACATAGCCCTCATTTTTTGTCTTGTTTCATTGTATTACTTCTCCCAGAAAAATGTGGACTAGCAAGAATTCTTGTCTTGTTCCTGATTTTGACAGGAATACTTTTGATATTCCGTGTTGTGTCATGTTTATTGTATTTTCCTGGTGGATAACTTTTATGGTGTTCAGGAAATGATTTTTTCCTAACTTTACAGAGTTCATGTCATGAACATGTGCTGAATTTCATTTGCTGTCTGTCAGGCAGCAATTAAGATAATATTTTATCATTACTTTTATAGACTTCAGAATGGCAAATGGTCCTCACTTTCCTGGGATAAACCTTGCTTGGCCATGTTTTATAATACTCTGTTTTTTCAGATATTTAGTTTTGAGAGAGAGAGGGAGAACAGAGTATGAGTGGGGGAGGGGAAGAGAGAGAAGACACAGAATCTGAAGCAAGCTCTAGGCTGTGAGCTGTCAGCACAGAGCCCGATTTGGGGCTCAGACCCACGAACCGCAAGATAATGACCTGAGCTGAAGTTGGATGCTTAACCCACTGAGCCACCCAGGAGCCCCTATAATTCTTTTAATGCACAGTTGATTTGAATCACTAACATTTTATTTAAACTTTTTGCATCTATATTTATAGTTGATTTTGGTCTTTCGTTATAAGATTTTGTGTGTGTGTGTGTGTGTGTGTGTGTGTGTGTGTGTGTGCGCGCGCGCGCACGCGCGCGCACGTGCACGCCTGCCTAGTTTTGGTTTCAGTGTTATGCTAATCTCATAGAATGAACTCTAGAAGAGCTTAAATAAGTATGAGTTTTTAAAGTTAATTTTTTTTTTAAATTTTATGATAGAACTCATGCACATAGCTGTCTGAGCCTTTAGAAATGGAAATCTTTGACTAATTAAAAAAATTCTTCTACCGTTATTACTGTCCAGAGTTACTACTACTTCTTTGATGAAGTTTTATAATTCTAGACTTTTCTAGAAATTCATCCATTTCATTTCGATTTAAAAATTTTTTTTGTCTGACTTAAAGTTGTATATAGTATTTTCATATAATTTTAAAGAGTGTCTTCTATATTAGCAGTTGTGTCATCCTTTTTATTTCTGATACTGTTTGTGTTCTTTCTATTTTGTAGTCAGACTTGCCAAAAACAGTCAGTTTTCTTGGTCTTTTGCAGACTTGATTTTCCTGATTTTTAGACTTACTAGTGTGTTAATTTCTACCTTTATTTTTAATCTATCTTCCTTCCTGCTTTCTTTGGTTATATTTTGTTGTAAACACCTCTTGAATTACATGATTATTGCAATACTTTAAGTCTTTTTTTTTTTTAAAGGATTCTTTTAAGATGATAAAAGCCTCTTTTGAATACTACCTTGATTGTATCACATGTGTTTTGATATGAAATGCCTTCATTGTTATTCATTTTAAAGAAGACTTTTAAATTTTGGTTTCCTATTTAACCTGAAGGTTATTTAGAAAAGTAGTTTTGGAAATATCTAGGTGGGTCATTTTTTCCTTAGATTTTGTTGTTAATTTTTCACTTTGTTCCATTTTGGATAGATACTTACCTGTATCCTGTATAATTATTTCTTTTCTGGAAATTATTGAGATGTGGTCTGTGGTTTAATACGTATTTCATTGGGATAAGGATTCCTATGTGTCTGTTGTATCAAATTTCTTCGTTATTTCTATTTGTTTTGACACCTGCATTGTATCCTAAAAATAATATGTTCTGTGATTTATTCTCTTAATGAGGGACATCTAGCTTACCTAATTTTTTTGTTTTGCCAGCATTAAAAAAAACTCTTTTGTGAACATGTTTGTACATTATATCTTTGGTTAAAAGGGAATATTTCTGTAGGATAGATTCCCAGATTCACATACATACATAGTCACATACCAAACTAATTGGAATAATTCTATGCATTCAAAGATTTAATCTTATACATAATAAATAATAACATATCCTTAATTTGTTTACATCACTGTTATTGGGGGTTTGGTCTATTAGTCAAACCCTGTCTGAATTGACCATATGCCAAATAATACAGCATCAAATGCTTTTGTTTGTCTTCTATCCACTTCCTTTGTCCAGGTCCAATTTCTGTTAGTTTAGTCTAGGACTCCAGATTTTAAAAAATATGTAGTATCTTTCAAGAATTATATTTGACATTTTCAGTGATTTTTAATCATAGTATCAGTGATCGTTTTGACTTCACAGCGTTTGGTCTCTTGCATACCCCCAGCTCTTTTACCATGATCTCCATTCTTCTTCTTCTTCTTCTTCGTCTTCTTCTTCTTCTTCTTCTTCTTCTTCTTCTTCTTCTTCTTCTCCTAATGTTTATTTATTTATTTTGAGAGACAGAGAGCATGATCAGGGGAGAGGCAGAGAGAAAGGGAGAGAGAATCCCAAGCGGGCTCTGTGCTAAGCAGCATAGAGCCTGACATGGAGCTCAATTTTATAAACTGTGAGATCATGACCTGAGTCCAAATCGACTTAACCAACTGAGCCACTCAGACACTCTATAACTTCTCCATTCTTAGTCCTCATTTTGATTCACCTCTCTTTTTTGTTTTTTAACATTTATTCATTCTTGAGAGTGAGACAGAGCATGAGCAGGGGAGGGGCAGAGAGAGAGGGAGACACAGAATCTGAAGCAGGCTCCAGGTTCTGAGCTGTCAGCACAGGGCCCGACGTGGGGCTCGAACTCACGGACTGCGAGATCATGACCTGAGCTGAAGTCAGACGCTTAACCGACTGAGCCACCCAGGCACCCCTGTGATTCATCTCTCTTTAAAACATTTTTTTAACATTTATTTATTTTTGAGAGACAGAGCACGAGTGGGGAAGGAGCAGAGAGAGAGAGAGGGAGACACAGAATGCGAAGCAGGTTCCAGGCTCTGAGCTGTCAGCATGGAGCCTGAGGCGGGGCTTGAACTTGTGAACCACAAGATGATGACCTGAGCTGAAGTCCTGAAGTCGGATGCTTAACTGACTGAGCCACTCAGGCGCCCCTTGATTCATCTCTTCATTGGCTAAATTATCTCTTTAGCTTTTTTCAAGAAGATCGTATATACTTGAATATACATTTATGTGGCTTTTGCATATGAATGGCATCTCTGACAATATTTATTTTTTATTACCTTAAGAAGTTTTGTTTCTATGTCATGGCGCTGTCTTTCTATTCCTCCTCTCCTAAGGAAGTAATTCTTCTTCATTTGCTTTTTAAAAATTTCAGGTCGAATATATAAGCATTCTCAGCAACCTTTGATTACATATGAGAAACATAATGTGACAGACTATCCAAAGAATGTGGGAGGCTCCCGTTCTTTATTTCTTCTGAAGGCTCATGGTAAGTTACCTGTAGAGCATTATTATGTTTTGTGGAATAAATTTACCTGATGGCTCAGTGCTGGCTGGATTAGGAATGGTACTGAGCTTTATTTATTTATTTATTTATTTTTAAATGTTTATTTATATTTGAGAGAGAGCATGAATGGGGCAGGGTCAGAGAGGGGGTAGACAGAGGATCTGAAGTGGGCTCTGCACTGACAACGGGGAGCCTGATGCGGAGCTGGAACCCATGAACCATGAGATCATGACCTGAGCTGAAGTCGGATGCTCAACCCACTGAGCCACCCAAGTGCCCCAGTAGTGGGCATAATTTAGCAAAATGTTCATAAGTCTTCTATGTTCAAATATTAACCCTTGCAGGTAGCAGCGTCTATCTTAATGTTTGCAAATTTTTATTAAAAGTAGAGAGTAGGGATCATTCAGTGGTTTTAACCCTGGCTGTACTTTAAAATCACTAATGGAGCTTTTAAGACATCTGTAATTTTTCAAGAGTGCCCTAGTTGTTTCTAACTGTAGCCAGAGTTAAGTATCACTGGGTTAATCAGTTTAATTTTTGTGAGACCTTAATTATGACATTTATTAAAATAAAGGCTTATAATAGAAGAGTGCTTTGTGATTTTGATTATTTAACAGTAGTTTAGTCTCAAAGATACAGTTTTGTTGAACTGATCAGTGTACAAAGTATTTGAGGGTATACAAATTACTCAGTGCTGTACATAAATATTGTATACTTAAAATGATGAAATTAACTATGTTGGAAGAGCAGTCGTCTAAAAACAAGGCTCTGGTTCTACAGATAAAAGTTTATTCCATTTGAAAAGTAGCCTGTTTTATTTTCGAAAAGATGGGATTTAAAAGTAGGGGAAGAGTATAGTGTATACTATACTATTCTTCAATACTAGTATTGGGTGGGGGGATATTTCCTTATTTGGTATATTTCCTTTATATTCTTCAGTTATTCCTTCCAGTAGAGTTTCAATAAATGTCATCATAGTTAAGCTTGAAAATAACTTTATTATTGATAATTTGCTTCTAGTAGTAGCTCCAGTTTGACAGTAATGGGATTCACATGTAACATGCCTATTTGTTTTTCATTGTTTATTGGAATGAGAAGTGAGAAGGTGCTGAGATACCTGCAGAAGGGCTGTCTTAGTGTAATGGTTAAGAGCACAGTTGCTGAAGCCAGAGTGGGTTTGAATCCCGACTTTGTAACCTTAGGTGTTACTTACTTAACTTCACTATTCTTTAGTTTCCCCAACTGGTAAAGGCGGAATACTAATTGTGACTACTTCATGGGATTGTTGTAAACATCAATTAGATTAATACACGTAAAGCTCTTAGTGCCTGGCACGCAGTAGGAGCTACGGAAGTTTCGCTATTAGGAGTAGTGGTGGTGGTGGTAAAACTATGATATATAGGGAGTTGTTGGGTTATGCTTACATTCACTGAATGTATTTTGTTCGCTGTTTTCTATGTTCCGAGCACTTGGCTTGGTCATGTAAGAAACAGCTTGGTTTGTGATGTCAACCATTCAATTTTTTCACCCACAGGTGCTTTAATGTTTGTGGCATGGATGACTACTGTTAGCATAGGTGTGCTCATGGCTCGGTTCTTCAAATTTGTTTGGGCAAAGCCTGTTTTTGGTCAAGCAGCTTGGTTTCAGGTAGGTGGGAGAAAAAGCTTCATGCAATTTCCATATTCTTTAAACATTGCAACATGAAAACTTATGTAGTATGTTTCTTTTTCTTTCTTTGTTTTTTTTTTTTTTGGTGGTTTACAGTTGTAGTTTTGGAATCCTAATAATTTCTTCATTTTGCCCTTTGATTTCCTAACCAACTGAAAATAGACATAAGATACTTGATGGAGGTCAAAATAGAGACAGCTTTAATGAGGTTCAGGGTGGATTAGAGAATGTCTCGGGGCCATGTGCATTCATTCCTTTGTAACATAGACTTTGAGACACAAAAGATCCTGACTTACATGTCTGTTTGGCCAAGGGGAGAGCCTGGAAGAACGTTCACTTCCTGCACTGAGTATAGATGAGTCAAGGAGGATAGGAGAGCAGAAGAAAGAAATAGTGGGGGTTAATGCATTTCTAAGCAGGGATCTGTCCTGGTTGTTGCCAGTGAGTGGTTAGACTGTTCCTATCTCACTAATCAAGATCATCTATCTCCTCTGTGTGTAGGAAGAGGAGCCAGAAGTGTTCCTTTTCATGCTGCACCTTTGCATGGGATGAGGAAGCAGTCTCCTAGTAGAAAGACAAGAGTCAGTAAGCACTCCTCAAAACAAAGGAAAACAAACTGTATCTTTCATGTGTCATGGAGTGTAGATAGTTGCACGTATAGTGGAATATTAGTAATTATGTGTTGAGCTAGAATGTACACATCTGCTTTTGAAAAAAATACTGCTTATTGAAACAGTTTTAACTTTATAAGGGGTATTCTTGAAACTTTATATTCATATAAATTTGTAGTGTTTAAAACTTTCCTCATCTAACCTCATTTCTCACTATTGGCTGGCAGAGTCAATCTGTTTTATTTGTCCTTACTACTGCTGTGTGCTTTGCTGCTGTCTGTCTCTGCCTTTGGCTTCTCTGTCTTTCTCTCTCTGCCTCTGTTTCTCTCTCATCTGTTCGTGTGGATATTCCCAACTGGAAAATTCTTTGTGTCTTTGCTTTACCAATTCAAATTCTCCACTGCTTTTAAAACTATGATGTGTACATATATGGTGTGATATGTAGAGTGATTATATGTCCTTTCCCTGGGATAGTTTTGGTTTGCACCATTTATCCTGGCATACTCAACTGTTACTCCACTCTCAATATTCTCAGGATTTAGACTATGAATTGACACTTCATATATGTTTCTCTGATCTACTCAGTTGTTTCCTAAGCTCCTTGGGAGACAGCTCTGTTTCCTTGCTGTCTCATTGTATCTGGTAGAGCACTGTGCTTGGTGGTGGTACTTAATAAAGGAAGGAAATGAAGGACTTGGCAAGTAGGTGTGCTCCGTGTGTGAAATATCCATTCCTGCTGCTCGTGCTGGTGAAGTCTTCGCAAATGCTTTGGAACGATGGGCATGGCAGCTTAGAATTTTCTTTAAAGTTCATTTAGTAAAATATTTTAAAACTCACTGCAAACTGTGATTAGATGTCAGTCAAATGCATGCCTTCAGGGAATCTCGCCCCATGATTTTTTCCCCACACTTATGCCAACTACTTTCACTTACATGGTTGACTGTCTTCTCATGGTGTCATTTCACCCTTGCAGGTACATCGGACGCTCATGCTCACTACTACTGCCCTCACCTGCATTGCTTTTGTTCTGCCTTTTATTTACAGAAGAGGCTGGAGTTGGGTAAGTATCTCTTCAGCAGGATTTTTTTTTTAATATAAATTCATTTTGATGACCAAGGAGATTGCTGTTTTATACTCACATGGATGGGTAAAAAGATATTTCTGCATACATCTCTCTTCTTTCCTTTTTTAATCATCTGGTGACTATTCCAGATGGCTGGGGGTCAGGGACAGAGCGAGGATGTTGTTGTGGATAACTGGGTAATGAAATATATTTTTAGGCTACATCAAATGTTACATATACTCTACATAGCTTGGGTGAATTTTCTCACTGTGGAGTGGTGAAAATTCAAAGTGTGATATCTAAGGAATGTGAACACTGTAAGTGGTTTTCTCTAACTCACACTATGATTACCACTAAGCTAACATGAGAGCCAGGATATTTACTGGTATGTTCACTGGTGTATCTTAAGCACCCAGAGCAGATTCTGGTACATAGTAGGTCCTCAGTAATTATTGAATGAAGGGGTAAGGCTTATTGAAAACAAGCGATGTACCCAAGGTCAGAACCTGTGCTCTTTTGTAAAACTTTTCCAGTTTTACAGCCAGTCAGAATTCAATATCAAAATTCAATACAGTAAAACCTTGGATTGTGAGTAACTCATTCTGTGAGTGTTCTGTAAGACAAGTAGACATTTCTAATAAATTTTAACTTCACAAATGTGCGATGTCTTGTAATACAAGTAGCACCTGATGCTGAATGTCACATGATCACCACTGAGCCAATGATTCTTGAAATTCGCTTTGATATACAAGTGCTTTGGATTACAAGCCTGTTTCTGGAACAAATTATGTTCTCAAACCAAGGTTTTACTGTATTTCACTTTGGGCTGTTGCCGTAAGGGCAAGACTAATGAATCTTGGGTCACTAAGAAACCTCCCTCCTGCTTTTTAGGTAGTTTCTAGATTGGCCGACCTATTTTTTAAAAAAAAAAATTTTTTTTTTAACGTTTATTAATTTTTGAGACAGAGAGAGACAAAGCATGAATGGGGGAGGGTCAGAGAGAGAGGGAGACACAGAATCCGAAACAGGCTTCAGGCTCTGAGCAGTCAGCACAGAACCCGACGCGGGGCTCGAACTCATGGACCGCGAGATCGTGACCTGAGCCAAAGTCAGACACTTAACCGACAGAGCCACCCAGGCGCCCCGGCCGACCTATTTTTTAAAGGAAATTATGAAGATTTTCTGATATGAACTTTATTTTATTCAGGTATTTGGGTCAAGGGTTAATACTTATTATATAAACTCTGTAGTTTGCACTCTTGGCAGTTTATGATTAGGATAGTATAAAGGGAATAGTATAGTAGCAACGTCACAGGCTTTCTGAGAATTGAGAGTTAAATAGCTGAAAGTACTTAGGCTAGTTTCCTGTGTATTCTAAGCAAATACAAGAATTTTGTGGCAGTTGTTACTGTTGTTTTATGAGATAGAGGCACTCTCCTTCTCCATGGTCCTGGTTATCATTTTATCTGTGTATAACTGAGTCCATGGCTTGAAAGTGTTTTTCTAATGTTCTTTTGTCAGCTTATTGTTCCTGTTTACCAAAGCTTCCTATCATGGCTTGGAAACCACTATATCCTTCTTCTAGATCACAGATTTTAGAGTCTACCCAAGCACGGCAGTCAGTGACAACAGACTGTAATATTCCCCCATCTAAACATGTCACAGGTTAGAGCATCTCCTTAGTCCCTCTCTTAAGTTTTTAAGTGGAAAAATTGTGCTAAGTGCTAAATGTGCTAAAACTGTTTGCTCTTTTGAGCAGACATACAGCATCTCTAAGAGAGGGGTGGAGCCGAAACTGTTGAGATACTTTGTTGATGGTCTTTTCTCGGGTTAGACCTTCATTCTGAACAGAGGAGATAAGATTTGAATGCAGTGGCTATATAGGCTATTCATTTAATCAATATTCATTGAGTGACTAAGGTTCTATTAAGCACTTGAGTTATAAGGAATCATATATAGAACCTTTATCTCAGGAAAACACAGAGGTCTGAACAAATAATTACCATACATTGGGATGATTGCTCCTGACATGAGGATACTAACTAGTCCTGGGTGGGGTGTACTGGTCTGGTGTTGGTGATCACCTAACATCCTAATGGGGGAGAGGCAGCGCTCCGCATGGCTGCCACCACCACCATTTACACACTGTGTGGCATTGGACACATTGCTTGATATCTCTAAGTTTTGGTTCCTCATTTTAGAAATGGGATATTGATCATATGACTTCACTCATATGAGGACCTTAAGATGTAAAACAGATGAACATAAGGGAAGGGAAGCAAAAGTAATATAAAAACAGGGAGGGGGACAAAACACAAGAGACTCTTAAATATGGAGAACAAACAAAGGGTTGCTGGAGGGGTTGTGGGAGGGGGGGATGGGCTAAATGGGTAAGGGGCACTAAGGAATCTACTCCTGAAATCATTGTTGCACTATATGCTAATGAACTTGGATGTAAATTAAAAAAATAAATTAAATAAAAAAATTAAAAAAATAAAGGTGGGATATTGATAACTGTCAAGCATTGTAGTGAGCATTAGTAATAATGTCTATCAAGTATGTGCTTGGTATAAAGTAGGCACTCAGTGAATGGTACCTATTATTAATAATAAATGTTTAAAGCTACAGAAAAACACTAAGAGTACATCTGTGTGTATTATTTTTAACATGAGGATTTAAACTGATGGGCGAGATCGAGATTATTGAAATGATGTAACTTTGTTCAGTATGCAGGTTATCACCCATACCTTGGCTGTATAGTGATGGTTTTAGCAGTTCTTCAGCCTCTTCTGGCAGCCTTCAGGCCACCTTTATATGACCCCAGGTACTTATAGCTTTTTAAAAATTTTTTTAAATGTTTATTTATTTAGTTTGAGAGAGAGAGAGAGGGAGAGAGAGAGCATGCACATGCACATGGGAGAGGAGCAGAAAGAGAGGGAGAGAGAGAATCCCAAGCAGGCTCCATGCTGTCAGCATAGAGCCTGATGCGGGGCTCGATCTCATGAACCACAGGTGAGATCATGACCTGAGCTGAAATCAGGAGTTAGACACTTAACAGACTGAGCCACTCAGGCACCCTGAGTACTTATCGCTTTTATATATAAATGGCCTTAACATTATTTGGCAAACTAATTCCTTTTTAAGTGAAAATCCTTTGCACTTTATGAAATTCAGTGATAAATTATATTTACTTTAAAAGGTTTTAAAGCGTATTTCAGATATCTAATTCTCAGGTGCATGCTTTTTATTCTCTTGGGAATTAATTGTAGTTCTGTCTCTTTTGAGAATACTGATTGGTTCTTTATTTGGTAGAAGGCAAATGTTTAACTGGACGCACTGGAGTATGGGAACAGCTGCTAGAATAATAGCAGGTAAGTAATTGTGATGCCACTTATTCATACATAATTGCTGGTTGTTTATATTGCAAGTTGTAATTTGGATTAAATGATTTTTAGATGTATTGGTAATTCGAGTAATTGGTTGTTGAGGGGAAATCAACCTTAAACATTGAAATCCAGAAAGTAATTTCTAGAGGTAACTATTTAAGTTGTTATTTCAGTTTTAAGTTTAAGGTTTTTAAAATTGCTTTAAAACTTTCCTTCTAAGACTTTTTTTTTTAGCATTTGCCTTTGCCAGCAGAATAAGCAAGCTATGCTAATGGCCAAATGCTCAAGTTGAGGGTCATTTGTGAGTTGGGCTGAGGTGGGCTGTCTGCAGGTCTTTTCCATGGGGATGGTACCTTCCAGGGAAGGTGATTGTCAAAAGTCAAGCACAGTTATCCAGTATATTTTTACGTGTTATATAATAAATTCCTAAACTGACATCTCCTACTCTCACATTTCTGTAGTCTTTGGGGGTTCTTCACGGAGGGAGGAGTATAGTTAGCAATGATTTCCATACTTTTCTCCCTTCCAACATTGCAGACTTAAAGCTTTTTGGAAAGTTTGAGTGTCTCTTTTTAAACAATTGGTGGATCATGATTATAATTTCCCATCTGACCGTTTCTAGTCTTACAATAAAAAAAGATTAAATTAACTATTTGGTCTTAAATATTAATCTAATTCATCTCTTACTGTGTTTTAGTTGATATAGTTCACACACGTACACACATAATTATCTCTCTTGGTGGTGACTACATTTGAATATATATATTTTTCTTCTAAATGTAGTGGCAGCAATGTTCCTGGGAATGGATTTACCAGGACTGAACCTTCCTGGCCCATGGAAAACCTATGCAATGACTGGATTTGTAGCCTGGCATGTTGGGACTGAAATTGTCCTGGAGATACATGCTTACCGACTTTCTCGAAAAGGTAGCCTGCTCAAAAAGCCATGTTACGTAGAATCACTTTTATACAAACTCTTGGAATGTAATTAGTTTCTAGATGCTAGTGGTTGACGCTTACATGATAGCTCACTGAAAATGTCTGTGGTGATTAGTCAGTGTTAGAACTCGTGGAAATATTCTGTCTTTGTGTTTTATACTCATTAGTATTAGAATTTGTGAGTAAAAAGGGGAACGATTTTAGGTTTTGGGGAAGAAGTCTTTTTTCAGTAAGTACTTTTTATTTTGATGCTGGTCTGAAGGCAGTACACACTGAGGTTCCTGAATGCGTGGAGCTGAGGGAACCCAGAAACGGAGGAAGAAGAGCTGCCCAAAGTCAACAGAGGGCAAAGCTGCAGACAGATTTTACCTGTTTGATAAATGTGCTGTGTGCTATCACTTAGGTTTTCAATATACATAATTTATAGCTGCCTAACTAGGCAGGCTAGATAGGAAGAACTTACTTTGCCCAAGCTTTCTGGTGGCAAGGTCCATTTTGGTTTTGGTGCCAAAGATATCTGTAGCCATTAGGAATCAAGATACCTATAGCCATTAGGAGTGGACAAATTAGTAGAGAGTGGGTGGTGACATTCTTTAAAAATTTTTTTTATTGTTTTTTATTTTTTGAGAGAGAGAAAGCAAGCTGGGGAGGGGCAGAGAGAGAGAGAGAGAGAGAGAGAGAGAATCGGAAGCAGGCTCCAGGCTCTGAGCTGTCAGCACAGAGCCCGACGTGGGCTCAAAATCTCAAACTGTGAGATCATGACCTGAGCCAAAGTCAGAGGCTTAACTGACTGAGCCACTCAGGCACCCCGAGAGTGGGTGACATTTTAAACTAGCTTGGTTTCTGGGCTGTGTCCTTTGTATCTTATTTAGTTTCCAACCCCCGAAATGGTAAGTAAAGGTGGCCTTCTAAAAACAAAACCTCTTTGTTGTGAATCTATGAGCTTTTCAGAGCCGAGTAGTAAAAATCTATCCTGCCATTTTTGGTCCTTGATAGGGTCACATAGATGGGGTTTTTGATGACTACTGAATTATGGTGTGCTGTTTAAAATACATATATACTTAAAATGTGGTTTGTTAAGACACTGATATGGTGTTTATTGACCAGAAGAGGCATGTTTTAAGTCCCTTGACAAATGTGTGCTGTAGCCAGTCTGTCCCAATTTGTGAGAGCCTTATATATTCAGGAAGTTTGTAACGCTTAGTAGCTTGAAATGGGAGAATATATACCCTGGAAATCAGTAAATGCTACACATCACTTTTTTTTTTTTTTTTTTTTTTTTTTTTGAGAATTAGTTTATTGGCATACTCACTGGCCTCATAAACTTATGTTGTTGTTCTTGACAGTTGAAATATTGGATGATGCCAGAATTCAGATCCTTCAGTCATTTACTGTAGCTGAAGCGGAAGTAAGTACTCCTTTTCTTACTTATTGACACAAACCTTAATGATAGTCGTTTCTTTCTTTCATATCTCAATTTTTCTTTCAGGGACATGCTTTTAAAAAGGTGGCATTAGCAGTTTATATCTGTGGGAATGTGACTTTTCTCATCATATTCTTATCTGCAATCAATCATCTATGAGCAAGCAAAGACCTTGGCTTTGCAGACCAGATGATAATTATCATTAAGCCAAAGAAACTTGAAGCCGGTATGTACCGACTGCCTGGAACGTATTCATGAATTCTAATTTGGAAGACCAGGCCATGTCTGTAGAGGAATTCCGAAGTATGGTCCTTAGGGATCAGCTTTCAGCAGGGTCCTATGGATTCGAAAAAGGAAATCAAGCCTTTGTGTGTGATTCTGAGTGTTACCAAGGAAGGTTGTACTTGAGGAGAAGTGATTATCAAATATTTTCTATGATGAGATTTTTAGAATGTTAGCATTTAAGAAAATAACTGTTTGGAAAGGCAGAAATGATGTCATTTGGATGAAATGGGGATTCTATTAAGGTACGTGTATTTTGGGCTATAAAGGTGCTGTGGTACTTTAAAGAAACCATCTATACTTGTTTATCAGGATGGTTTTTCTTAGGACTTTTTGTGAAACTATGTTTTCCAGTACAGTGTTTTGGACATGTCCTTTTTTCTGTGTGTTCTGTTACTTCTCTGGTAAAGGTGGAGGTGGGGTTAACATTGTATTCACATTTAATTATATGTGAATATTATAGTTTCTTTCTTAGTGATGAAATGCAAGTATGCATCTTCTGCTTAAGACTGTATTTATATGGGCGCCTGGGTGGCTCATTTGGTTAAGCCTCCGACTCTTGATTTTAGCTCAGGTCATGATCTCATGGTTCGTGAGTTTGAGCCCCACACTGGGCTCTGTGCTAACAGCGCTGAGCCTGCTTGGGATTCTCTCTCTCTCCTTTTCTCTCTGCCTCTCCTCTGTGCTGCTTGTGCTCTCTCTCTCAAAATAAATAAATAAACATTTAGTAAAAATGCTCTATTTATATATTCAGTAAAATGATATTTTATATGTGAATTGTTTTGAGTGTAAGATTCAAGTCCTAGCTTTTGGAGATTGTAGACTTGCATTTCAAAATTAATAAAATTTACCCTTGTAAATATATTTAAGAGCTACTCTCTTTCTTTGTGGTAATAAATAATATGGGTGGATCTTTTTTGTTAGAAGTTCCTGATGCTGTAATGAATTAGAACGTCAGTGTTCTTTTCCTTCCTACTCTAATCTCTTTTTTTAGTGGCTGGGTTTCCTATTTGCTACGAGGACTTCTAACCAGTGGGTGGCACCATAATACCAAAGTACTGCTTTGTTTCTGTTTCATTGTGCTGTCACTCATTTCTAGTACTTGGATAATACCACGGAGTGGCAATTCCCTTAATTCCGCCAACTCTTAATTTGTATTTGAAAAGTTTCTGCCTTTTTTTTGGTGGGGTAAGGGGTTTGGGGTTGTGAGTTAGAAACTGAAATTAGGGACTGTTATTATTTTTCCTGGTTACATTTCTGTTTGTTTTCTAATCATGATTATTTGTAACAATTGCTTGATAGTTCCCTTTACATTCATCTGACTCTGTAACAAATGAATATAACTATTTTAATCAGAGGAAATAAACAAAACTGGACATTGCAAAAAGAAGCTTAGGAAGGCATATTTTATCTTTTAGGCATTCTTTCTGATTGTTATAGTTTCTGCTTGGTCTGAGGACCTAATTTGTATTTGGTGTTAATAATAGCCTTAGCTGTGTATCCTATTGTATCCTACATCTTTTATGGGGTAAAATGATATGGAAGTTTTATTTTTGTTCCTTATGTAAGTGTTTATCATAAATAGCTTAGGGTTGAGATGTGAATCTTCTGTGTTCATGGTCTGTGCCAGGCTACTTACAGTTTCAATTTTTTTAAAATAGTTTCATTAATTTTTTTTAGTATAGGAAACTGTATACTAAAATATTTTCCTCCAGTTTTCAATTATAAGGGGCTTAAAGGTTAATAAATTTTAATACAAGTTTCTTTGTACATGACAAAGAAAAATTCTTTTAAGGGGAAAATGAACCTGTTGTGTTTGGTTTTCAAGTATATGGACTTACTGAATTTCCAGCACCGAGGTTAAGATATTTTAACTTTTTCTTTTTAACTGGTTCATCTTTTCGCACTATTTTGATATATCATCAATTAACATATAGAATTCTCCAAAAAGTCTTTAATCTTGATAGATGCCATTTTATTAATACCAAATTATGATTTTTCGGTTTATGAATTGTTAATATCCACAGATTGAAAAATGCCTATTCTTCACTCCTGTCATCATTTCTTCTTGTTTTTGTAATAAAGTTTTTTTTAACTTCCTTTGCTAGGAGTGATTGTTAAACTAAATGCCTTTAGATCTTCATCAGTGTTGCTGCTGAAGTTATCAAAATCAAAACTTTTAAGGGTGTCTGAGTGGCCCAGTTGTTAAGAGCTTAAGCGTTGAACTCTTGATTTTGGCATAGGTCATGAACTCTCACAGTCTTGAGATCATATGGCTCGTGCTGGGTGTGGAGCCTGCTTAAGATTCTCTCTCTTGTGCACTTGGGAGGCTCAGTTGGTTAAGCGTCAGACTTCTTGGCTCAAGTCATGATGCCCCGGTCTGTCAGTTTAAGCCCTGCATTGGGTGAGCTTGTGCCCCACTTCTAGTGAGCACGAGCCCTGCTTCCAGTGAGAGCACGAGCACACTTCGGTTGAACGGGAGCCCTGCTGTGGCTGAGCATGAGCCCCACCGCTTTGCTTGAGCGGGAGCCCTGCTGCGGGTGAGCTCGAGCCCTGCTTCCAGTGAGAGCACGAGCCCCGCTTCGGTTGAGCGGAAGCCCTGCTGCGGGTGAGCACGAACCCTGCTTCCAGTGAGCACGAGCCCCGCTTCGGTTGA